ACATTTTAGGTATACAGTATGACATTCATCATTGGAAATTTATATCTTTATGTAATCTATTTTGGTTCTTATTTTTTTATCCCCATTCCCCTGCCCTACCTTCAACCCCTCCATTCCTCCCTATTTACAAAGACTTTTTTCTATTTTTTCATTTTCTCATATTAATTCCATTCCCTTCTTTCCATTCCTCTACCCTTTCTCCTTTGCCCCTTTTCTTCCTATTTCACATTGTCTATTCACATTTGCTTAAAAAAAAACAAAACAAAACTGTGCTGATGTTAGCACTTATACTCCAGAAGCTGGTGCCTTAGCATCGATCAAGGCAGTGTCATCAAACTGTGCAAACTGTATATCAAACCTCCACACATTCTCATTAGAAGATGCCAGTTCACTTAATGTCATTGATGAAGCTACAAAAAGTATACATTTTTTGAAGTCCCAATCCTTGAATTCACTTTTTTTTTTTTGGTACAGGGGATTGAACTTGGGACCTTGGGCTTGCAAGGCAGGCGGTAGAACCACTGAGCTAAATCCCTGGCCCTTGAGTACACTTTTAAAAGAAATATTCTATGTGACAAAATTAGAAATATGCACAGGAGACTGCAGCATACTAAAGGATGGCAGTTGTCTTGATGAAATCAGTGTGGTGATTTGAGTTACAAGCTGAACTAGCTGCTTTGTTCTTGGGCCCATCTTTTTCCTTGAAAGAATGATTGATGGATGATCTGTGACTGTTAGGAACCAATTATTTGGCAGACATTTTTTCAGAAACGTGCAACTTCAGGGAAAACAACCGGCAGTATTTGTTGCCATTGAGAAGATTCTAGCTTTCAAGTGACAGTGGGCATTTTGGAAAACATGTTTACTGTCCTGAGGTTTATGTCTTCAGTTATTTAAAGATTTTCTGATGAGACTGGTGATATTAATGAATATCAATTTAAATTATTAAATGAATGAAATTTGTCAGTATTGGGATAATTCATTAAATCATTGTTTTCCAAATGATGATTGCATAATATACATAAGTGTGATCCACTTAAAGAACAAGATAAATGGAATTTAATGTAAGAATATGAAATATTTATTATTAAGGATTCTAGTTCCACGTTCCAACTAGCCTTTAAGAAGCTACCACTTGTTGAGTTCTTATATTTTTTATTTTTAAAGAGTTGGTCTTGCCATATTGCCTAGGCTGACCCTGAACTCCTAGTCACAAGTGATCCACCTGCTGAATAGCTGGGCCGACAGACGTGTACCACTGTGCCTGGCTTCACCTGTTGAGTTTTGTTGTAGTATCAAAGAATATCCAGAATCATTTGAAAAGACTATATAAAGCACTTCTCTTTGCAAGCTGCATGTGTGACTAAGGCTTATTTTCTTCGTATACTTAAGCCAAAATAACATATTGTAACAGATTGAATGCAGAAACAGATATGAGAATCCAACTAATATTAAGCCAGACATTAAAGAGATTTATAAGAATGCAAAACAATGCCATACTTTTCGCTGTTTTCTGAAAATGTAGTTACTTCATTAAAAAATGTTATTCCTATTAACATGTTGTAGGTTTATTTTAAAATGAATTAAATATTTTGAAAAAAATTCTGTTTTTATTTTTAATACAGCAAATATTAATTACAGTAAATATTAATCCATATAACTCATTTATACAGAAGCTCCCTGGGGGTTCTCAGTAATTTTTTAACCATGTGAAGTTTCCTAAAACCAAAGTGTGTGAGAATCTCTGGTGTAGTTCTTAAGAGCAGGGACTTAGAACCAAATTGCTTATGGTCAAAACCCAACTTTATTGTTTAATGGCTCTGTGACCTTAGGCAAGATTTGGAACTATCTGTTGCCTTAGTTTCTTCATCTATAAAATGGGCTAATAAATTTAACTTATGAGGTTTCCATAATGATTCATTTGAATATGTAAAAAGTTCTTAGGATATATAGCATTTGGCAAGCCTTGGAATTATTTGATAAGTATTTGTAATATATTGGCATGTTCCTTTATAGATGCTAGATTGCTACACTTGTAGATTGGATATTTTTAGATATTTACGTAGCCTTTTATCAAGTCCATGATCTTTCCTCTCTTTGTCCTCCAAGTCAGTGATTCTCAACACTTACTGTCTGTTAGAACCATGCGGGAGCATTTAGAAAAAAATCCCAATACCCAGGACACATTCCTGTTTGAACCATTTAAATCAAAATATGGAGTTGGGGTGGGTAGGGTCCAGGCATTAGTAGTAGTGTATAAGTTCTTCAGGTGATTTCATTATGAAGGTTGAGAACCACTATTTTGAATCTTTCCTGAGATTCTACTCCCCTTTCTGCTTCTCAAATAAATGGCAGCTGATTTTTCACCCACACCTTATGACTCTGTGTTTGGAGGTGGATACATGTTCACTTTGCTCTTCAGTGCTGTTTTCCAGGAAATTGTCTCTCCCTATCACGATTTAGATCTAAAATGTCCCCCAGAAGTTTTATGTGTGTAGGGGTGGGCCCTTTGGAAAATGATTGAATCATGGGGCAGTGTACTCGTCAGTGGATTTATTCATTGGTGAGTTCATAGCTGAATAGTGCTGTTAGGAAGTGGGGCCTGGTTGAAACAGGTGGCTAACTGGGGGTGTGACCTGGGAGGATATATTCTTGTCCCTGGCTTTTCTCTTCTTCTCTCTCCTCTCTTTTGACTTCTGTCTTCTCCTGTCTTCTGTTTTCTCTCTGCTTCCTGGCTGCCATGGGTTGAGAAGCTCTCTTTTCCTGTATCCTCTACTGTGTTGTTTCTGTCTTGGAGCCATCAACCTTAACCAAAAAACCCTCTCCTCCTTTCAGTTTTGAGTGTTTTATCCTAGTGATGGGAAAATGACTAAGAAATACCCATTCTTTTCACTGTCCACTCTCATCTTGGAACTTTTGTCAGTAGACTCTAGGACCCACTGCTTTGTTTTTTAAAGACCTCTTTAATCCTTCTCCGAAGGATTTTAGCATGTGGCTGCTGGTTATTTTCTCAGCATTACTTGTCATGATTCTGGGTAGTTTTTAATTTTCATGTAAATTAAATTATTCTTCTAATACCCCCGCCCCTCAGTCCTTGACTTTCTCTCCTGCAGTGATTTTTGTCCTCCACTTTCTGTTACCCATGCATATCCTTGGGATACATTAGACCATGTTGGTGCCAGCTGTATAAAACCTTCACTATCTATGGTTGCAAACATTCTACTTTCTGAACACATCCTCGTGTCTCTGCAATTCATTCTTTGTCGCGTCTCAACCCCCAACAGTTGTCCCAGTTGGCCACGGCATGTAGTCCATTGGTCCTGCTACCTTTTCATTAACTCTTCCCTTATGAACTGACTTGGCCTTTTCCTGGCCTAATACTCAGGGCCCATAATTGTAGTAATTTTATAAAACCTCAAAGATCTCTTTTCCTCCTTTCTTTATGTCATTGGATTTGTCTGGCAAAAGCCAACCTTTGTCTAGATTCCTCCTACTCCATATCTATAGTCAGGCAGTAAATTGTAGGCTAATTTGTCTCACTTAAAAATCATACTTTTGACCTCAGTGGGGCTTTTACTTTTATCTGGAATTGTTATTGCATTTCCCCAATTCATTTATTCTCTGAAGTAACTTTTCTAAATGACTGTTCCTTACTTTCATCTCAGACTATTAGTAGTCCCTACTCCTCCCTCCTCCGCTGACCACCCTCTTTCTCATGTCATGGAGAAGATGGAACTCTTTCAGAAGAGAACTGCCACAAGCTCCCACCACCACCCGGAACAGTCTGCCTGCATCCGTGCTCATTTAATTGGCTTCCCTTCGGCTTCCTACTTCTAGACTCTCTGGGCTCATTTCTAAGGCTAACCTGCTTTGAGATACCTGCCTCGTGGATCTCTGCTTACTTATTACCTTCTGTCTCGGCGTTCTGCTTGTTCCCTCTCTCTCTCTCTGGCATCACCACTTCCCTATTCTCTGCAGGAATATTCCATCAGGCTATAAACATCCATATGCAACTTCCCCTTTACCTCATGTTTCTCTGTAGTTTCCAGGTAGAATTGTCTGGGCTAGTTGTGTGCAGTTTCTTTCCATGCATTCTCTTAAACTCTTGGTAGTTTAGCTTTACTCCACCAAAACAGCATTTATTGAGGACACTACTAATCCAGACCCAGTAGGGAATCCTTGGCCTCCCCTACTCATCAGCACCATTTGACCTTGGTCTTCACTTCTTTTCCTCAAAGAACCCTCTACACGGGGCTTCTAGAATACATACATCCCAGTGACATTTTTTGTACCTTTTTTCCTTTGGTACTGGGGATTGAACACGGGACCTTGTGCTTGAGAGGCAGTCAGTGGAACCAATGAGCAAAATCCCCGGCTCATTCACCATTTTTTTCATATTAAAATATAAGTTCTTCAGAGTGCAGATGTGGCTTTTATTTTATTCACTGCCTAGAGTAGTGGCTGGCTTCTAATAGACATCAGTGCACATTTGTGGAATGAATGAATATGAGCTTAACAATGGCCCACTTATCAGATCTTCCCCCATTTCTAGCAGGTTTCCTGGTCATAAGGCTTCACAGCTGTTTCTCTACTCCCTCTCTCCAAACCCTGTATTTCTTAATTGTATCTTTCCTTGCCTCTACTTTATTCCTATCTTTTTCAAATTAGACCATTAACATTGCATTTATATTTCCTTGAGGCTGTAATGTTTACCAACCATTTATTTACATCTGGTATTGTAGATGCAGATGATCTGTAAATATGTAGTTAAATTATTTTTGAATATAACGCCGAATTCAGGTATCAGTTGAAAAGAATTAAAATTGTAAAAGAATAAGAAAATAATTCAGTCTTCCAAGGCTAAAATTATATGTGCTAGGATATTTAGTTTTCTTATTTTGCTACTGCTCTGCTCTATACTGTTTCTCCCTGCTCCTGACCTAACTCATGTGGATTTGTAAGAACACTGCTTTTCACCGGTTCTTATTTGTGCTCTGCAGAACCTTGCCTCCTGGAACCCTGCAAACCCCGAGTGCCTCTTACTTGTGGTGAAGGAGCTTGTGCAGCAGTATCACCAGTTTCAGTGCAGCCGCCTCCGTGAGAGCTCACGCCTCATGTTCGAGTACCAGACGCTCCTGGAAGAGCCTCAGTACGGAGAGAACATGGAAATCTATGCTGGGAAGAAGAACAGCTGGGTAAGGTGGGCAGAGAATGGGGAAGAGTCACGTTCATCTCTAGTTAAACGAGATAACCAGTTCAGATGTCCACTGATCGTAAGCCCTAGTCTTCAAGTAATTGTGGTTTAGATAGCCCACGTATTTTCTTGTAGCGGCTGATGGGATCTTAAATCTTAACACTTATCTTGTTTAATGTTTCTCAGAGATAGCACTTGTGAGGCCTGTACAATTCAGTCTCATTGCCAGTGCTCTGAGGATACACCTGTGTTACCAGACCCCAAGCAGGATCTGGTGCAGGTGGCTGCTGGGCCACGTTTTGAGAGTCTCCCTCCTTTCAGGAGTGCATTTTTCCAGTACCCCGGTCAGTTAAGAGAGGCCAGCAGCTTCGGGGGCAGCTAGTTATATGGAGCCTTTTATACTCTCTTTTTGTAATTACTTTACATTGTATGGTCTTTTAAAAATGCAAGTCATAGGCTGGGAATTTGGCTCAGTGGGTCTCACCACCTGCCTCGCAAGTGCAGGGGCCTGAGTTCGATTCCCGGTTCCAAAAAAAAAAAAAAAGCAAGTTGAAATATCGCTTTCCTGCTGTCTTTTTTCTCAAAGTAAGCCGAAGTCCTCTCAGGGACGTAGAAAGTTCTGCATGCTTTCTGTCACCACAGTCCTCCATCCATCACTTATTTTGCTCGCTTCGTCTCCTACCATCCTCTCTCATACCCTCTCCTGCGAGCCCCTGCTCCAGGCATTTTTGTCCTCTAGGGTCTCTGTGTACGTTCTCTCTACCTGGTATGTTTTCCCTAGGTGGTCACATGGCTGCTTTCCTTCTTTCTTTAGATTTCTATTAGTATGTTTTCACTTGTGTGCTATTAACTCCTCCATTTAAAAAAATTGAGGTATAATTTACATACCGTGCATTTGCCTGTTTGAATTGTTCAGCTCCGTGATTTTAGTAAACTTATCATTTTTACCTCACTGGGACCCTTTGTGCTCATTTATAGTTAATCCTGTTCCCACCTAAAGCATCAGGCAACCACTAAGCTACTTTCTATCTCTCTAGATTTTCCTTCTGAATGTTTCATATAATGGAATGGTTCTGTTTTTGGTGTTTTGTGATTGAATTCCTTTGCTTAGTATAATACAGTGGTACCTCAATCCACAAACTCAATTCTGTCCATGGTTCTGGTCGTGAACAAAATTGAACAAGAACCGAATCAACTCTCCCCATTAGGTCAAAATTGAACCTAACCGTTGAATCTGATTCAGTTTTTGTTCAACTCGGTTTTGGACCAGAATCATGGAAAGAATCGGGTTCATGAACTGAGGTACCTTTGTATATTTGAGATCCATCCATGTTGCACTATATGTTAACACTTCTTTTTTTTTTTTTTTTGGCTGGATGGTTTTTTTTTGAAAACATATACCACATTTTTGTTTATCTGTTCATCACCTGATGGTCTTTTTAGGTTTTTTTTTTTTTTTTTGGCTGGATGGTTTTTTTTTGAAAACATATACCACATTTTTGTTTATCTGTTCATCACCTGATGGTCTTTTTAGGTTTTTTTTTTTTTTTTTGGCTGGATGGTATTCTGTTGAAGACATATACCACATTTTTGTTTATCTGTTCATCACCTGATGGTCATTTTAGGTTTTTTTTTTGTTTTTTTTTTTACTTGTATGAATAATGCTGTTACAAACATTTAGGTGCAAGTCTTTGTAATACCCATTCTTAAATTTGTAACTTACTTCTACAATTATCGGCCCTTTTACTCTCCTCTGTTTTTTAGGTCTCTCTCTTTAACATATTGGTTATATGTTGCTGTTTTAAATAATCATTCAGTAACTTAGTGCCTTAAAATAATGCTTACCGTGTTAGCTTTTGTTTGTCAGGAATCCGGGTGAGGTCTCTACTTAAAGTTCCCTCCTGGGCTGCACTCTGGTGTTTGCCCAGGTTTTAGTCAGCTCAAGTCTCCTCTGGAGATGAATTCATTCACTGTAAGGTCCTTCATGTGCCTGTGGGCACGACTGTGCTCCTGTGGGCTGTTGGACTGAGGGCCTCAGTTAGTGCCATCTGGGGTCTGGAAGCGACCCTTGGTGCCTTGGCTCTACAGGGCCTGTCCCCAGGCCAGTCCTAAAGTATCAGCCATCTTCATCAGAGTAAGCAAGCCGGGAAAGAGGAAGAGCAAAGCAGATAACAGCTTTTTCAAACCTAATCTTGGGAGTGACTTCCCATCACTTTTACTGTATCCTGTTAGGTCCAGCCCGCATATGGGGGAAGAATTCCCTGAGTGTGGTACGGTGATCATGGGGGCCAGTTAGAGGAAGCCTACTACACGTACCTATTATGTTTGTTTTATTATTATGTTTTATACTCCCCACTAGAGTATAAAATTTCATGAGGGCAGGGATCTTTGTTCTGTTCAAGATACATCTCAAACACCTGGAACAGTGCCTGGTACATTATTGGCATTCCATAAACAACTGTTCAAAAAATGATTAATTAGATCTAGTTAAGCCTGAGTTAAGTTGCAGTAGTTTTCTCTTGTTAATTCTTTTAGTTTTCACTTAGCCTTCTTTTTCTTGGGTTAAATGTGCTCCTCCTTTTAGTCTTTAGCTTTTTCTTTCTGAGCCTTGGTAAAGTGTATGAGGACTGTTGGGGTCCACTATTAGTTGCCAACAACTGTTTTTTTTTTTTTTTTTTGGTTTTTTGAGACAGGGTCTCACTATGTAGTTGAGACTGACCTGGAACTCAATAGGTAGCCCAGGCTGGTCTCGAACTCATAATGATCCTCTTGCCTCAGCCGCCCGAGTGCGGGGATTACAGGCATGTGCCACCAGGCCTGGCAGTCTTTAGCTTTTCTTAAAGGATATACTTCCCAGGTTTTACACATGATTAATACCTTTGAATTTGCATGACTTGCATTTTTCTTATGTTCTAGCAAAAGGCACATAACACCAAATGTGTCATCTTTCCAGAAGTGTGTAGCTCAGAAGCAGACTAGAACTTTTGTATTTTGTGAAACTAGAACTCCATACCCATCGACGCTAGTCCCCCCCAGCCCTTGGCAGCTGCCTTTCTACTATCTGCGGTTTTCACTCTGAGGTAGCTCATGTGAGTGGAATTGTGGTGTATGACCATCTGTGACTACTTTCTTTGACTTCGGATAATGTCCTCGAGGTTCATTCATGTTGCAGCCTATGACAGATCTCCTTTCTTATTAAGGCTGCGGAATGTTCCACTGTGTGTAGACACTACCTTTTGTTCATCTGTTTATCCTCTGGTGGACTTTTGTGTTGTTTCTACCCCTTGGCTATTGTGAGTGATGCCACAGTGAACGTAGATGAGCAAAATATCTCTTTTGGACTTTGTTTTGAATTATTTTGGGTTTGTGTAGATGTGTATTAAAGTGAGATTGATACATCATATGGGGTTTAATTTATTTTGAGAAAACCTCTATACTGTTTTCTGTAATGGTTTCACCATTTTACATTCCCACCAACGGTTATGTAGTTTGAAATTTAAACTATTGATTATATGGAAACTTTAATCTGTTCATGTGTCTCAAAGGAAAACTTTGTTGAACTTAGTTTAATTCTCTGTCCCTAGAATTTCCCTTATTGAATAGCCAACATGTTTTTGTCTCAAAAAAAAGGATGTTAGGTTAATTTGCTGTGATTTTTTTCCTTGGTGAACCTACTTTGTCTTTAATATTGGCAGGCTCATGTGGGAATATGATTACTGTCCAATTTAAAATTTTAAAATTTGCATTCCTACCTTGTTCCCTCCTTTGATATCAGGGCTGAGTTAAAATATAATCCAGATCTGTGACACTTTTTGTGATCTAAAAATTGTATTCAGTGGTAGAGCTAATACTCGAGTTGTAGTTTAAGTGTGGAAGTTTTAAATTTGTTGAAAGCAGATAGACAAGCTAGATGTGGTGTCACGTGCCTGTTTTTCCAGTGACTTGAAGGGCTGAGGCATGAGGATTGCAAGTTTGAGTCCAGCCTGGGGAACTTAGTGAGACCCATCTCAAAATAAAATAAGAGAGATAAAGATAAAAAGAGAGATAAAAATTTTATTATAAAATAAAATAAGAGAGATGGAGCTCAGTGATAAGAGCACTCCAGGAAGTGGAGAAGGAGCAGGGGGAAGGGAGCACAAAAGATGGACAGTTTGTATAAAACCTACTATTGCTAGACTTATCCCATTTTATTTTGACTTGATATTGAGTAATTTTTAAATGTTAGGGCAGTGCTTATGGGTCCAGTGGCAGAAAGACACCTGATAATCTCACAGTAAGGTCAGGTGGACAGTCACTAAGCTTCCAGCAGACCGGGCCTAGGGAGGGCCACATAGAAATGGGAGCTGGGACTTTGGAAGCAAAAATAGATAAAGGAAGAAGATACAAATGTGCATCTTGAGGGATGAACAAATTAGAGGGTAGTGTGAGGCTGCCTTATAGAGCAGATCAGGAATCTGGGTGATAAACATAAGACCTTACCAGAGAGAAGGGAGCTTGGTTTTGAGTGAAGATGTATGGAATCAGGGACTCTGCCAGTTTTCTGTTATTATTGCAGAAAATGATCACAAACTTAGAACAACTGAGATGTACTGCCTTAGTGTTCTGGAGGTCAGAGTCCAGAGTCTGGGGTCTGTCTTAGAGCTCTATAGCGGCTGTGCTGTGAGAGATGTTGTCCTTGGGAAATTATGGAAGAACACTGATCCTAGAAGACTGTAGTGAGTACAGCTCTTCTGGGGAAGTTTAAAAGACATTATACTCAGATCTTTTAAGTAGACGATTCACAAACATTTAAGCAAAAATATAGTACTCAGTTGGAACAGCAGTTTGGTAACCAATAGTTATGACAAATGTATTTACTCTTTTAAGAAAAGTGAATATGAACTTTGGTACCTTATTTTCATTCACCTTTAGTGTTCCACTAAATATGTGGTCTCCACATGCCTTAGTTTTAATCTGTGGAAGAGCTATACTTAAATGAATGGGCTCAACTTGTCACCCCTC